TATTTTAGATATAAGGAGCTCAAAAGAAAAATGAACAAAATAAAGGTTACTTTAGCTGTACAATCTGTCTAAATTAGGTAAAAAATATTTTTTAAATAATTTCAAAAGTGCGCTTACTCAAAATGTTTATTTCCAGTGTCAAATTTTACTTCCACTACTGCTATCGACACTGCACATTTCTTTTTATTTGGGGACACATTATTTGATAGTGTAAATGGAGACAGATTATCGTCTACAAAGAAATGTAGGTGTTCCATACATGATTCTAGCCCACATCTGGATTTTTTCGATGAGGCGATTGAAGTGCTGAAGAGCATGAAATGCGAATGCAAAAAGGAATTTGATGGACCTACTACATTAAACTGGATAGAAACATTAAAAGGGTTTAAATATTTAAAGATTAACTCTAAGAGGAAAAAACTTGGTAAGAATAAAGGCATAAACATAGTATAAAAATATATTTTTTTGAAAACTGTCAAAAAGTCGACATTTTTGTTACATTTTCAGTTGACATAGTAAGTCTTTTTTTTCTAGGACGTAAAACAAATGTCAAAATAATTTGTCATTTTTTCGAAACATATTTATGATTTTATTAATTAAACAATATTCATTTTAAGTAGTATAACATTTCAATACAAAACGGTAATTATTATAAACAGGATGATTACAATTTATTTTGCACTACATGTAAATTGAAATTGGCGATATTGCAGTGAGTTAAATTTATGCCAGATCCAGTACTGTCAGTTATCGTAGCTTTTAGTTCTGGGTGTTCAATCTCCTATACAGGTTGTTTCATAATGATGTGCAATTAACTTTTATTTTTTTCCACGAAAACGGTTAAACTTAGAAATTTGAATTGTGGTACACGTTAACAACTAGTTGAATGGTATTTTTTGGTAGTCTTTTTTCTGGTTTATCTATGTCTTTCAATGAAAGAAATTAGCACTCCTTGGTTTTATTTCTATCAGAACTTTTTTCTACGTTAGCCAATTCCAACAAGAAAAATAGCCTTTAATACTACATTTCATTTAGAAACTTTTTCTACTCTTCCCATTTTTTCATATACTTATTGGTTTACAAGCAAAAAAATAAATTATTTTTCCTTGACGATTAGGTACCCATAATTGGTATAACAGTTACCAAAAAGGATTGTCATTTTTGACATGCTTTTTGCAAAAATTCTTTTTTATCAATATGAAAAGTTAAGCAAATATGAAATAAAAATTTAATAAAATAAAAATAAAAGCTAATTTTTTCGGCCATTTTGAGATTTAAATATTATCTCGGGGGGGGCTCAAATCAAGTACCACCCCTAAAATTACTTTCTAAACACCTTAAAATATTTGCACATCATTATTAAACACCCTGTATATGTTTCTGCTACCGTACTAGAACGCCACCCCCCACGTTGTTTAATGATGGTAATATCGGCCCCTGCATTGGCTAACAAAGTGGCGGAAGAACGTCTAAAGTATAAGTTTCCAAATGAGGCAGATTGAGATAAGTTGCTATTTCTTTTGGCTCATTCCTTATTTTGTTGATGCCAACCACTTGGTTAACACATTTTTCTCTGACATATTTCACAAAAATGTTCGACTTGTAATAACTGCTGGACGTAAAGCACAATATTTGCTACCTTCATTTGGTCTGGACTTGAAATCACAAAACATCTCAAGTATGAGTTTTGGAATCGTGAATTCTTATAATAATAATTGAATCTTTGACTTCTATATCATCGATTGTTATCTTTTTCTGATGGTATCCAACTGATTTGCTTTTCAAATATGGTATTAGTTTTGGAAATTTTCTGATATTTACATTTTATTTTTGGCATTCGGTGTACTTTTTAACATGAATATACTGACCATAACATCGAAGGTTTAATTTAATTAATTTTATGTTGGAAATGTGCCAATAATACTCCTTTGGACACTTTTTGAATTTTCATCGAACTACACCACTTTGAATTTGTTGTAGGCAATCTCGTACTGTCTCGATGATTTTTTGGGGATTAATTGTGAAACAGCACTTTGTGTCGCTGCCAATACTTCCCTTGGTAAATGCCCGTCTTTACTTTCCGAGCTCATTTTTAATTAAAAACTTTTAGAATATGAAGTACAATATATAATTCTGACACTAGTTTTTTAAACAACTAATTTTTATTGTTGTTTATATTCAATTCAAACACGGTTCAAACGATTTCAAGTATAAATTGTTGTATATAACACAATTATTGTGTTATTTTATTGCAGTTTTCGAAAAAATATTGTTTGCATCTCAAATGCAAAATGATTTTGCGTTCTTAAACTCCCATTCTTGAATGCAAAAGTACCATTTCGTGTTCTAGATACAAAAATAACTATTTTTATCCAAGGCCCTCTTGAAAATTTTTTTAGATGTATCTGTAGCCATGGCGGAAAAAATATCAATCTTTCATGTACACCTTTTAGGCAGTCATTTATCTCCATATTTATTAGTGAACAACTTCTTGTCTCGATCCTCTCCAGAATTTAATTGTGAATTAGATAATTGTGAAGGTGCTTTAGACAGTTTGGAGAATTTAATTAATTCAACAAGAAGGATTGATTTTTCTTATACCATGGAAGGGAATCTAGAGACTTTGAAGGCTGATACCAATTATTCATATACAGAATGATTCAGTTATAATATAATTAATTTTAAGGAAAGATATGGAAAAATGAGTAGAATATGAATAAAAAAACTTTAAAATGCCCATTTATGCTGAAAAAAATTATTTTCAAATCATTATTTAAACCCCTTTTCAGGCCATATGTGCCTGTTGACCCATAAAGGTTTATCGAGAGTGAATCTTGACCTACCGTATTATTCGGTCACTAACCTAGTTTTTACTTCATTTTTAATACATAGTGAACGACAACAGATCATTTTACATAGACACATGAATGAATAAGATGTTTTTTTAGATTTTAAATAATATTTATTAATAAAAACAAATGTAGGTATAAGGATAATAATTATTTCCTAATTGTTTTTAGTATTATGTTCAATTAATTATACAGTTTGTAGTACGTATATCTAGTGACTTATTGCTTTTCAAAGAGTAGGATGGTACCTATCTAAAATACCAGTACGGCTAAAACAACATTCATCCATCAATGGCACTTTGTTAATAAAGATGGAATTCGCTGCACTTTGATTTTGAAGCCAATTGCAAAATTCAACCGACTTGGGAAATCAGCTGTTTCGCTTCAATGTTCGAACGCTCTGTGGTCAGAAAATGTAATGCGATGTAGGATGTCAAATTAGCGGAAGTTAAGCCGTAATTTGCCTATCTTTTAAAATGTTTTTTATCTTAAGCCTTCCGAATACATGGTTAAAATTAATGCCATTATGACTGAATCACCTGACTGTATACATATGTGTGTGCTTCAGAGAAATGATTTATTTTTTATTTAATTGGAATGTTTGGTGTAGAATGAACGAGGCTACTGACTTGCATGAGTTAAGTTATTGAATTTGAATATAATTGCATCAGATTAAATAACGTATATACAGTGTGTCCCGGTTTTCAGATTAACGCCTCTGGAAATGTGAGAAGGCTGTGGACTTTCCGCAAGCCAATTTTTTTACAAATAATACCTTGAAGAGAGGTTATATTCTACTAATCATTTTATTGATACGACAAAAGCCTGGCCTACTACGATTTTTTAAAAGGGTTGTTTTTCCAGAAAGTCAAATTTTTATTAAAAATATAGTATTACTAGGCTATTCAGCACCCATCAAAATACCCATATTTGTACCAAATTTGATCGACAAATATCTATTGAGTGTTTTTTTGTGGGAAGCCAAACTTCGAAAAATCAGACAACTAAAAATTATAATAAGCAAGATTGCCATGAAAGAGAAAACAAGTACCAATTGGACAAAGAAAAAATACAGATACGGCCACAATAAAAATATTAATGTATTGATTAAAAACTAAGTTGTTAAACAGAAAATTGCAAAACAATCTAAATTAAATTTTAGTTATTTCCACAAAACCTCCTTCCAGTCAAACACATTTTTCCAATCGTCTTCTTAAATTTATACTTTACATAGCTTGCGTGAAGTAATCTCTACATAAGGTTGTCTTATGCGTTTCATTAGGTTATCCAAATTCTTTGGTTTGTTTTTATAAACTTTCTGTTTTATAAAACCCCAAAAGTAAAAGTCCATAGAGAACAAATCAAAGGATCTTGGTGGTCATTGTACTACTGGACTCCTCTTAATCCACTTATACTGAAACTGGCGATTAAGCCAATTACTGACTGCGACAGCGTTGTGGATTGGAGCTCCATCCAACTGTAAATAAATATTTCTTCTATCCAAAAAAGGAATATCCTGTATAATATCCCATAATTTATTATTCATAAACTGAAGAAATATTTACCCATTTAAGTTATTGTAGAGAAATATGGGACTTATTACACTGTGCCTTGAAATTCCGCAAAACACATTAACTTTCTTACTTTATAACAATAACTAGTTTATCAGTAACAGTTAAACGTCAAAAATGTCAACAATAAAGCCTTCATTTTTCATTATAGCCTACCTGTATTATTTCAATCATTGTTTAAAACATCGTTTAAAATGACTTCATTCATTCAGTATAATTGGTAAACTAGTGTTATAACCTAAGAATATCTTCCAATTATGGAAGATATCAAATCAAATTTGGTATATGGGTACTTTGATGCCTGGTAATATTATCTTTTTGATAAAAAAATGTCTAATACCACTTTCTGGAAAAACGACCCTTTGATGATTAGTAGAATATAACCTACCTTCAAGGTACTATTTGTAAAAAAATTGGCTTGCGGAAAGTCTTCTCACATTTCCAGAGATGTTAACCTGAAAAGATGATTTCAATGGTAGAAAAATGTAGAAATAAAGGGAGGGGCAGAATAACAGCGATTTTAAAAAACCCAGGAATCGAGCCGTACCGTTAGGAGGTGGTAGAGACGCTATAGGCCACGTTTTCTGCATATTAGTATTTATTAACAATGGAGTGGACCCCTCGGCAGCCTGTACGCTGTGAAGGCGTTTTATCAAAATGGTAATTCTTATGTATGTGCATTTCAACCATTTCAACATCAATCGCAATTGACCGGTGCTGTCTACCTGTGTCATTAAAAAGTGGGTTAGGAGCTTTGGGGAGATGTCGTCAACGACAAGAAAGAAGCCTAGAAGGCTAAAATTAGTTCGCACTCCCGAGAATATCGAGCGCATAAGAATTGCTATTGAACGAAGCCTGCGTCGTTCAGCTAGCCGGCACATAAGGAGCTACATCTCCATCCATACAAAATTCAAATCGTACAGACGCTCAAAGAAACCGATTATGTTAGTCGACAACCATTCTGTGAAAAGTTTTTATCCTAGACAAATGCGTCAGGGACCCCTTCACTACACAAAAGTTACTGTATGGGGCGCTATGCCTTCATCAGGTATTATAGGACCCTACTTTTTATAAGATTCCTGTGGCAATGCTGTGACAGTAACGTCACAAAGATATGCCGCCATGTTGGAAAACTTTTTTGCACCACAGCTAGTACGCTACGAAATTAACGAGGAAACATTTTTCCAACAGGACGGAGGAACCTGCAATACAGTGAAAGTAAGAATGAATATTGTTAATGGGTTTTCTCTTGTGATTTATCGAATGGGGGACCTCACGTGGCCTCCCTGTTCACCGGACCCAACGACGTGTGACTTTTTCTTGTGGGGTTACTTGAAGAGTAAAGTGTTTCAAGATAACCCACCATAAACAATTCAAGACTTGAAGGAACGGATTTGATAGGAAGTGGACCAAATTCCCCTGGCAATGCTGCGGAATGTAATGAATAATTTCAGATCACGATTAGACGAATGTGTTACGCCTGAATGGACGTCATCTTCCCGATGTTATTTTTTAAACATAAAATCATTAATGCTTTTTTATGTTCAACAAAATAATAAATTTATTTTTAAAAATTTAATTTCTTTTTTACAGCCTTTTTAAAATCGCTCGTTATACTGCCCCACCCTGTATAAGGCCGTTCATTGTTTCTGTGTTATAAATACTTACATTATTCAAAACATCTCCAACAAACATAAATAGTAGTATGTAGAATCCACCATTTCTGGCGAATAACGATGTTGAACTTTAATAAATTGCGTGAATGGTAAAATGTGCTCGAATTCTTGTAATATTGATATCTACCTTTTTTTATAATAGTTAATATATAAATATAAATGTAGCAAATAAATATTTGTATATTTTAATAGATTTCATAATGGACGCAAGGTTTTCGGCGGCACCCCTTACCACGTCATTGGTGCCACGATAGGATGTGGACGGTCTGCTAATGGCATCTCTTTTACTTGTGGCCCACACGTATTCAAAATCTCCAATGCCACAGTACCATCCCGGATAACCAAAAATACAAAATTTATAGAATTGTTAAAAAAAAACAGAAATTCAAGCGTAGTGGAGGTATTATTGGAGGTTTCGACGAACAACAAATTTTTCTGTGTTTGAAAATAAACCCCAGTAGTACCTCCACCGATGAGGATTGTTAGCGCAAAAGGGTCATTGAGAAATTGGTCTATTGAACTGCAAATGAATTGCCTACCTCGTGTGGTACAAGAGTGTACAATGATTTTTCGGTAAAACAAGAATATAATTATACCAAGTAAATTTTCAGTATCAATTTTTCGCAGTGACGCTCACATTTGCTAATTTGTTGAGCAATAAAATGAAGAGTTCGCGATTAGGTACGACTGTAATACGTTTTTCATAATCGCAAACCATGGCTTATTGGTGCCTAAAGCTGAGGCGTTTAATCTTTCAAATGTTTCGAGATCATCATCCTGTGATGCTAAGATACAGATCCATTTCCGATGTATTATTACCCCGTTCTCCTACAGGTGGCGCTGTTCTTCTCTATAGAACTAGCAAATTGCACTTCTTTTGAAATGCCAACTTTTTTACACCTTGCTTTATTAATAACTCCATCTTTTTTACTTCACGAGACCCGGCCGTATGCCAACAAATATGTACAAGGGTACAATCGGAATATACATATTTTGAAGCCATACGCCGAGTACTCAGCATTTCTATTTTATCTATATGGGGTGCGTGGCGAGTCCGATCTGGACAAGGTAGGTAACCACCTGCTGAAAGATCATTTAAACAAATGTTTGTTTAGATGACTTGTTGCGTTCCCCAACTTAGAACGTCTTACTTCAGTCCCTCTTCGTCTGGAGGTAGTCTTAACATGTGATAATATCGAACAGGCGGAGGGGGAACTTCTTTTCTAACTATTGAAAACCTTTTTCACACTTTTTGACAGTCCCTTTTTTTCATTTCTGGGGAGGACTGGGTCGCCCACGTGAAACGTTACGCTGATCCCATTGTTGACAATTTGAAAACGTGGGAGAGGAAGGACGTTTTACAGAACTACAAAAGAGATTATGCCATCTACCATTACGAGACGTGCATAAACTTTTTTGTAGAGGTCGCCCAAAATCTCCAGAAGTTAAATTATGGGCATGTAAAGTCGTTTCTATTTACACGTATTCTTCCCTCAACAGTTTACTCTTCCCCTTCTTCTCAATCTTCTAATCCTGTAGTTCAATTGTTTCAAACATCTTCTAATTTTGACTTGCCTCGCTTATTTTCTACCTATAAAATCTAGATACTCTTATGAAATCCTTCATCCTTCCGCAACCATATGTTCTCTAAATATCTTCAGATCCTTCTCTTTTTATATATGCATGCTAAAGACTCCTTTCTTCTCTGTAATCTTATACGTCCTTTTCACTCTTTGCGAAGCTCTGATCATTCTCTTGTCACAGCCTTGAACGTGTTTTTGACGGCGTTTGCTTTGAACGGCAAGGCTTTGCATTGCCGCAAAGCCACTGTCGAAAACATGATCAAGTCTGTGAAGTATATACTTTCCGCTTTTTCTAGTCGAACCGTCGAACAGTTCGACGGTGTCGTCTTGATGTTTATATTTCCAACTTTCGCCATCTTATTTCGTGCGTACTCGCCTCGGATTCTCTGTTCTGTTCTGTCTTTCTTTATCTTTTAAATCTTTACCTTCAAAAAATATTCTATTTCATCTTCCTCTTGCATTGAGAAACTGGTGCATCTGTCTTCCAAATCCAGTACATACCACTGGTATTCTTCAATTCCTCCTTCGTCTTCTTCTTCTTCTATTCCTGGTTTTTCCGGCTTTTCTGTTCTTGCACGTAACGGCGCCACCATTGTCACATCTTCCGAATCTCGACTCAAGCTCCACCTACTCATTGTTCCTTCTGTTTCTGTTACACCTCTCCAGTAACTTATTATAGCCGCTAGTGAAATTTTGGATAAAAATGATATTTCTCCCTGTCCCAATAACCCCCCACCACGGCCTATATATCCGAAAATTACTGCAAAAATGCGAGCGGTACTGAAATAATCCCGCTCTGCCGTAACAAAAAAATTGTGCCCATACTTTTCCTCTCTATGTCAATCTGAACTGCCTCCTAAATCCTCCCATTAAGCCTGCCCCTTCCCATTTTTCCGTTTCCATCGTTCAATCCCTTACATTGCCTTCTATTCCGTCCCAAACATCTCCTAACCTCGAATCTTCTGTATCATCATCAGCTCCTGTCGAATCCTGTGACTCTGCTCCTCTAAGTTCTGTTTCTCTTATTAAAAAATTAAATTTAACATTTTCTGGTCCTTCCACATCATCTTTTCTACCTATGCATTCTGTCCCTACTAAATCACAAATTTCCATCCCTCTTCGTTCTAAGTTTAAATGTTCTTTTTTCCTGTCCTTCATATCAACCAACTCGCTCCGCTCCTCCCGATTCCCCATCTCATTCTTCCAGGATATCCATATTATCTCAAATTACGTCCATCTCTATATCATCTTCCTCCTCCTACTCTTTCTTCTCTTCCCCCCTCCAACACCTCACTACGAATCTCCTCCATTTCCTGTTCCTTCCTCACGTCTTCCGAAAGTCGGAGTGACTAGTGTACGATTTTTGCACTGTAAGGCCACCGACAGAGTGATGTGCCAATTTTTGGCACGTCACTCAAAAAGTGTCATAGGGGACAAAATTTATCATTTCTATGTATCCAGACACATTTAAAAACATTAACCGGTGGCCTTGAAAAGTCGCTTCAGAAGAATTTGTGAGCGAAGGAAATTGGAGGAGTATATTTCTAAAGACATAGCGGAAATTCTGTATCTTATAATGAAAATGAATATTCACATAAAAAAAATAATTAAACGCCTCAGTTGGTTCCTGGTCCGCGTGAAGATATTTTTATTGCTAACTGTTATTTGCTAGTATGAGTTAGTTATACGCATGATTGGATTAACGAGAATCTCGCCGCAATCTGGCGAAATTCAGTTAATAGTAAAGTTTTTTTGGACTTAATACTTCAGGTTTGGGTGTTTCGATAAATGGTCAAGCATGCCTAATAATGGTCAGTTTTTGACTTGGCCAATAACATATAGTTTGTTATTAGTTTAGCGCAAATGGAAATAAGTTAATCGAAATGCAAAAATCCATGTGTATTATTATCTTTATTTTACAATTGAATCGAAAGATGAAATTGTCACTCTTGTATGAACTTGAAATAAGAGTGGAAAAGTATCGATGGGTAGGAAAATTTGAAGTATACCGTTTAATAATTTTAGTATGAATGTGTAGATATATCAGGTTCTCCATGTACCTATGTTTGTGCGTCCTCAAACGATTTACTCAAAGAGAGATTAGTTGCTCAGTTGTGAAACGAAAGTTTAATCTTGTGATATTGTAATGTAGTATTGCGATTTAAATAAATTTACTTGCTTGCGCTTTCTAGATTAGTTTTTTTATAAAGGCCGACGTGGGCGTTGTTCCATATTTTTATGTGCATTTAGTGTTTCTTTGCCTATTTGTTTATATTTTTGTTGTGTTTGAGTATTATTTGTTAAATTTAAAATGTGGGTCCCTAATGCACTAGGAAACATAAACAATGTAAACCAGGGCAATTCTATATAAAGGCTGTTACAAATTTACTTCTCATTACAAGGATCTTGGAAACGGTAAGAGATATGAACTAGCTTAAATGAGGGCGTAGTTGCGTAATCAGGCGACCAACATTATGCTTCTGAAAAATCAAGGCAGCCCTCTGTCGAATGGTATAATCAATTTTTATATGTAAAGTTTTGTTTTTCCAGGACCTTCATCAACTTAATTTTTTTAAATATGGCCGTATATTTTATTACATTTTTTGCAAGTCTTCATGCCCCCCAATACTGTACTGCCTCAGCCCGAACCAGATCCAGACGTTTTGTCTCTAGAAAATCATCTTCAATGTATTCGTTCCAAATTTATTTAATTTTTTTTACACTCTAAGTGTCGTTAGAGTATTACCATCACAAGTTACAATAAAACATTATTAAATAGAATGGACATAGAAATCTAAATAAAAAATTAGATAAATTTGGAAGAAATACATTGATGATGAATTTTTTGAGACAAAACGTTTGAATCTAGTTCGAGCTGAGGCAGCACAGTATTGGGGATCATGAAGGCTTGCAAAAAATGTAATAAAATTCCCAGGATCGTATTTATACAAATGATGATGGTGATACTGCAGAGACGAAACATTACATAAAAAAAATTATTACGCCATTCGATAGAGTGCAAAAGTGTTCTTCTTTTTTCAATATCACCTCAAACAAGGCTGAAATTAGAGAAAAAGGGATTTCCAAAATTTCTGTTTTTTCAAATGCATATTCGAAAACTAATTAATTTAGCCTTGTTTTTTTAGAGGCATAATGTTGGTCCCCTTATTACACAACTTTGCTCGCATTTAAGTTACTTCGTATCTCTTACCATTTCTGAGATCCCTGTACTGAGAAGCGAATTTGTAACAGCCTGTATATAGTTCAAACTGAGAGCTTGCACGAGGGTTTGCTACTAAGTGTACTGTTGTATTAAATTCGTAAAACTTCGATTCAAACAGTATGATTTAATATTTCCTCAAGATGAACCACTTTTAATTACAATAATTCACAAGTCATTACTTTTATTCCTTTTAACCCTTGAATATCTGTGAACAAATATCTGTGAACACTTAAATTTCACGCTCTGTTCCCTACTTTATTTTTGTATTCAATATACTTTGAGTTCAATGTGCATTTTATGCTGACCAATGAACATTTTTGTCTCTGGAATTATGTAATAAATTAAATAAAATGTCTGGAACAACTGGACTGGACTTATTAATTTTAATCTAGTTTGGGCTAAATTAGCCCCTTTCTACCATAAATAACACTTCCAAATTTCAACAAAATAGGCTAACGGATTATTAATATTTTTCCGAAAAAACAATTTTTTAAAAAAATTACATAGCCAGATCTATATTTATATAAACTTTTCGTCTTAGAATCACTCAAAGAATTACCCCTTGAAGTTTGGCCACGTACTTAAATAACACCCTGTATATACACTTTTTAAATCAAACTTCAAACCAATACCAAAATTCATGCAACAAAATTTGGTCACAGATTCTTAAGACAAATTTAGGGGACAAGTGTTTTTTATTTTTGCCAAGTGGCCCCCTCTT